TTCCTTCGGGCTATGAAACCAGTGATGGGCGCAGACAATAGGAATGCCACCAGTATTACCATTGGAATCCACGCACTGCCCGCTATTGTTCGCTTGTATAGGAAATCACTGATTAGCGCCAGTATTGTGATCGTACAGACATCACCCATGGAGGCTGCGATCGGAGTCGCGATGTTGTCTACAAGTTATGAAAATCATTTTAAAATTCTAATTACAGTACTTGTAAATTAAATGTAAACTATTGAGTTCTTAAACAATTCATAGAATCAATACAATTAGTTGTTAATAAAGAGACAAATTAATTTATTCATAAAATAATTAATGACAAAAATTTTATTGTCATTTATACTATAATTTGAAATTATTATTAAATTCGGAATATTTAGTGCTTTTCGTACTTTTATTTATATTTTTTAAGTCTAATAATTAGGAGAATAGAGAGACCAAAAAATACTTTTCTAGTAATAACTTAGTTAAAGTGAAATTCTCAGAAATATTTGTCTGGCTATTGAATAATGAAATGCCAGTAATTTTTCAACTAGTTTTTCAATTTCAATTCTTTTCATTAGTCGATCTCATTGTGTGACAAAATAAAGAGTTTTAGCCTTCAATTAAAAACATATCTCAATTGTATTTTTGGTATAATTTGTTAAACTTAATGTTTAGCACTTAATTCAATCCAAAGTCCTAATCAAAGAATACAAAAAAATAAAAATCTAATTACTTTTAATTAGGAACCGTTTAGAAAATAAGGAAAGTTATGCTTGAACAAAAATGTCTTTTTAAAGTCTACAAAATTCAATACAAATGTCTCATCCATCCCTTGCTTTAGTGATTTCATTGAAGTTTTTCATAAAAATGTTCATTTCGTGTTTGAATTCAATTAACTTATAAAAAGTGTTTTAAGGCGAGGGTATTATGAAATTGGAGTTATTTTGACAGCAAATACTCGTCAATGGAAACTTTTAATTATTAAATATTAATTTTGTATTCAGGATTTAATGACTTTTAAATATAATTTTACAATTTTATTGATAATTTTAATTAATTTTGATAATCTATTACCTAATAATCCGGGTTATGTGAGAGTTAAATATGTGACTGTTCAGATAAACATTTTTTGTGATAACCTGAAAGTATGCTTATTGTCAGCCCTTTAAACAATTAGCTCAAAATCTAATAGTTTTTGCCAAAAGTGCGAATTGTTTAACTGATAATTATTAAGTGATAAATAAATGGCAAAACACTTTAACATAAAAATGTAATAATATTTTTCATTTGTAAATTAATCTAATAATTGAGAGCAAAATAAGGAAAATTCAGGTGAAATATAACTTAAGTAACAAATATTTGCAGAAATAGAAATCTTATAAATATGATAATTAATTAAAGACAAAGGTTTAGCATTAATTAAATAAATATTTAAAAAGCGATTAAACGTGAGCTCATCATGCACTTGTATTTGCGGTAGATCAAAAAAGTTTATAATAATTATGTAAAACAATAATTTTTTATAAAGCTAAATTAGTGATTAATATAAGTAGCGATTGCTACCTATGCTATCTATAAGTATGTTATTGCAATAAGTACACTATGTAACTAAAAATAAAATTTATAAATCTGATAAATACCGGGATTAATATTGACTTTCCTGGCGATGATGATAACCAAGCTGATAGCAGTGGCCAGTATAATATTAGCCGCAACACTAGTGCTGACAGAACTGGCGCACAAAAGTAGTATGAGTTCCCCGAGGCTGAGCTCCGTATCCTTTTGGGCCTTTAAGTAGGATATGCCCAGCGATGCAAACGCGGCGAACAGACCAACAGTCGCCGCCTGACATAAGACGACCGCAGAGTTGCCGATAATCATAGACTTGAGTTGTGAGAAGACGTCTAAAGTGCCTAAATTGGCGTGAGTTGAGAGCCGGGAGGCCAGTGTTGTCTCAATATTGCCGATGAGTCCCAGAAACGATGGCACCATTATTATCAACTGCGGAATGGCTATAAATGCGGGCCAATGCTGCACATCATTCAATACAATACCGGCGCCAACAGAGCCAATGCCCGCTATAAGGAATGGTATTAACATTTGCTTCAATACAGTCCACGAACTCTGCATCTGAGGCTCGCCGTAAGGATGGGGATCTTCAAAGGCTTCTTTGAATTTTGCATTATTTATGGAACTGTTGTCATCCATAAGAACCGGAATACTTATAATCAATTCATTTTTATTATCATCTTTTCTTATGATAGTTGGCGTACCGGTTGGCACAATCTCATCGACCTGTGATAGCGGACATACAGCGCCCTTAGGACACGTCCCACCAACGGGTCCGTTGCATACATTTCCGTTTGCATTGATGGCCAAACTTTTGCGTCTAATCACGTGAATCTGTATCTCGCGTTCATCATCACTGTCCTCATCGATGGCTTCATTAATACGGTGTCCATAATCCCCACAACTTTGACTCCGTTGTCGGTAAAAGTTTGGACGATATATGCTTTGAGAGACCCGACGCTTAAGCGATTGACTTTTGCGACTAATCGATGAGTTATTTGAATTTGAGTTGTTTGATGAGCTCATTATATAACACTTGTTTTGTTTGCATATAATTTATCCAAAATTCTGATGAGAATATTTTCATAAAAACTATCAAATTCTTATAATTTTAGTCTCTAAACCAAACTCAAGTTAACTCTTCAGTGACCAGTAGTCCCAATGAAACAAACTTTTGAAGAGTTTGCTAATTGATATTTAATTATATTTGTAGATAAGGTATGAAATACCTATTGGTGTGACAGATGTTTGCAGTCGACACTCACTTTTTAAATAATATATCGATAATTATTATCAATACATTTCGAGAGAATAGTTGTGAAGAAGTGAAGACTACTTTTTTGTGTAAATTTTTATCACAAGAAGCACAAGAAAGAAATCGCTTTTTGTTTTTGTTATTTTTTTATATCTGTTCAATAGATTACATACTTTTCATGTGATTTATTATATGAATATATAATTTAAAAGCTATTACTATTAGTTATTGTATTAATGAAAACTTGTTTTCTCTAATTATTGAATACTTATTATAAATAGTGTATTAATTTTTAGGCACATGTATAGTGCGTTCAGTACTGTCATAGACATACAGTGCATGAGTTCCAGTCGATTATTAATTATTGCAATTTAAATTTGAAATTTTATGTTTTGTCATACAATCAAAATTATTATAGATTTGTTATTAGTTTTGTGATATTAAATTGTGATACACATCTATCAGTGCAATAGATGTAACGTAAACTTATTTATTTGTTCAATTTGTATAATGACTTGAAGGTTAAGCTCACTGTGGAAACACAACTATTCCTACAACTGATCAATTGTATCATTTTAGATTTAAATGTTATTTTACTTATAATGTTATTTTAGTACAGGTATTTTATCTGGAAAAATATTTTAAGTATTGAAGTACGGTACTAATTTTGTTGAAACAAGTGAACTAATAAATATAAATAAAAACAATTTAATTGAACTTTTGTACTATCGGGTTTTACAACCTTTTTGAAAATATACCCTAATCGATTAAGTATTTAAAAATATAAAAAATATTTTCTAAACCCTTTATTTGTTTTCTAATTATGGTTTCTTGTAAAATTCTCATAAAATTCTTGTAATTATACACTAATATTTTCTTTACGATTCATTACATAATTAACTGTAAAATAAAATTAATACCTGTAGTAATAAATTATTAACAGTAGTTTTATTACGATAATATATTAATTTTTCTCACGATTTCAATCTTTTATGATATACTAATACATTTTTGATTTTTGGGGGTATTTTTAGGCGCCGATGTATCCAATTATTTTGTAATCAAAATATAAAATTATTAAAACACAATGTAATAGATATTATTAATATTCAATAAATTGATAACAAAAGCAGTTGGCATTAGACTTGTGTCTAAATATTGTATCACATAATTTGCTTATCACCACTTGAGTTAAGGATTTCACTTTAAACCCTTTTGACAACTGGATTTATTTTTTAATATCACATATTAATAAAGTCTTAATTAAAACTTAATTATACAACAAAATGTTACAAAATTGTTGTGTTTCTTTCTCAAGTTTTTATCAATTCAGAGTACTCTATGAAAATACAACAATTGAAAATATTTAATTTATATTTATATAACTTTAAGATAAATATTGTTTCTGTTTATATATATATTTTAAGCTTATTTATCAGTCGTTTCATATCAATTAAGGTATGCAATATTTTCTTAATGAGAGAGAGAGAGAGAGAGAGAGAGAGAGAGAGAGAGACTTGAGATTTTAAAATNAGGCATTCATTCATCAAATGAGAGATAAAACTGTTTTCCAAACACTCTTTCAATGCATTTCTCGACACTAGACGTGAGTTTTGTTTATGTGTTTATGCACTGACCCCTTGACCCGCAATGTACACATCAATTCATAATTTAGTAATTAATTGTTATTTAAATTGACTTATATGACTGTTATCTATTTATAACTTTTAATTTTTTAATTATGTAATATTTTTGTTGCAATTATAATTATAATTTTTAATTTAAGTATAGCCCAAAACTTTTTGTGGTATACTCTAGTGTTTGAATGAATTACGGCTTTTTAGATGACTTCACTTTTTCAAAGTTTTGTATAAACTTTTGATTTTATATCTATTTTATTGATTTAATTTTAAAATAATAATTTTTCGTAATTTTCAAATGCTTTCTATATTAGTAGATAATTTGATATAATCATCTTCACAATACTCTTCAATATATTTTTATTATGAGTTAGTATCAGAATACGTATCAGAATCAATATATAAAAAGACATCATTATTATCATTCGTTCATGTCTAATCATAAATAATTAATTAATAAATGTAAATAATTATGACAACTAATGTAATAACTGCATAGAAGGTTATTAACATATAATATATATTGCGATAAACAAAACAAATAATACCTTAACGACAAAAACAATGAAATCTCAAAAAATACTTCCTTTTCAATGACACCAACACTTCCCAAGTCTTATATCTTTCTAACTCTCAATGTATTTTAAAAATGATTTGCATTTTGTTTTTCATCACATGTATCAATACTAAATAATTGTGTAATTAATTATTTAACAAATGACTGTCATTACTAAATATTTTCAGAATTCGTTTTCAATACAATGATTTGTTAAATTTAGGACAATTTGAACACAACTTTGTAAATATTGATTTACTGATGGATTAACACAACGATTTATAAATGTCGTTTCTCTAAAGTGTCTGTCTATATAAAAAACAATTATTGTTTGCCCATAATATAAAATTACATGTATTTCATACTCTATTTGATTTCACAATAGCATTTCAATTAAACAATATTTATTCAATTGTCAAGAATTGCAATGTTTTCATTAGAATTATTGTTGAAATGCAGCTATAATTTGATGAATTCAATAATAGCATTATTTAATTATATGAAGACATTTAGATAACATAAATAAATATCACAACTTTTAAGGATATCATTGAGCTTTTTAAACTGATAAAAAATTAAGACAAAAAACTTAATGAGTACTATAGAAATAGTTAATCATTAATATCCTAAAAAGTCATCTAGCACATGTACTCTATTATAGCTCAATATGCGGTGAATCTATACTAAAAGACGTCAATTAGATTAAATATTTCAGTGCTATTATATTGATTAAAATTTACAAAAACATATCACTTCTAAATCCCTATCCCCTCTGAGATCATTGTTCTCAATCTATACTACAATTTGTACTACAGTACTGTAAATACTACTGTAATTTCAATTAGTAATTTGTAAAGATTTATATCAGATTATGTCTATTGTCTTATGTACTGTATTGATACAAATTTTAAAATCTCAAGTCTCTCTCTCTCTCTCTCTCTCTCTCTCTCTCTCTCTCATTAAGAAAATATTGCATACCTTAATTGATATGAAACGACTGATAAATAAGCTTAAAATATATATATAAACAGAAACAATATTTATCTTAAAGTTATATAAATATAAATTAAATATTTTCAATTGTTGTATTTTCATAGAGTACTCTGAATTGATAAAAACTTGAGAAAGAAACACAACAATTTTGTAACATTTTGTTGTATAATTAAGTTTTAATTAAGACTTTATTAATATGTGATATTAAAAAATAAATCCAGTTGTCAAAAGGGTTTAAAGTGAAATCCTTAACTCAAGTGGTGATAAGCAAATTATGTGATACAATATTTAGACACAAGTCTAATGCCAACTGCTTTTGTTATCAATTTATTGAATATTAATAATATCTATTACATTGTGTTTTAATAATTTTATATTTTGATTACAAAATAATTGGATACATCGGCGCCTATTTTATGGGGGTTTTTAGTTTTTACATAATCATATAGTATTTTCTAACTTTAGCACTCTTTTTAATTATATAATAGCATTATTTTGATGACAATTATTAAATAATGATGTCCATAATTAAAATAAAAGCAGTTAATTATGTAATGAATCGTAAAGAAAATATTAGTGTATAATTACAAGAATTTTATGAAAATTTTACAAGAAACTATATTTAGAAAATAAATAAAGCGTTTATAAAATATAATTTTTTTAATTTTAAATACTTAATCGATTAGGGTATATTTTTAAAAAGGTTGTAAAACCCGATAGTACAAAAGTTCAATTAAATTGTTTTTATTTATATTTATTAGTTCACTTGTTTCAACAAAATTAGTACCGTACTTCAATACTTTAAATATTTTTCCAGATAAAATACCTGTACTAAAATAACATTTAAATCTAAAATGATACAATTGATCAGTTGTAGGGATATTTGTGTTTTCACAGTGAGCTTAACCTTCAAGTCGTTATACAAATTGAACAAATGAATAAGTTTATGTTACATCTATTGCACTGATAGATGTGTATCACAATTTAATATTACAAAACTAATAACAAATAAATAATAATTTTGATTGTATGACAAAACATAAAATTTCAAATTTAAATTGCAATAATTAACAATCGACTGGAACTGATGCACTGTATGTCTATGAGAGTACTGAACGCACTATACATGTGCCTGAAAAATTAATACACTATTTATAATAAGTATTCAATAATTAGAGAAAACAAGTTTTCATTAATACAATAACTAATAGTAATTGCTTTTAAATTATATATTCATATAATAAATCACATGAAAAGTATGTAATCTATTGAACAGATATAAAAAATAACAAAAACAAAAAGCGTTTTCTTTCTTGTGATAAAAATTTACACAAAAAAGTAGTCTTCACTTCTTCACAACTATTCTCTCGAAATGTATTGATAATAATTATCGATATATTATTTAAAAAGTGAGTGTCGACTGCAAACATCTGTCAC